CTATCAGGAGAGTTCTGCTATACCATTTGGGTTATCTCCCTGGCCAAGGATCAAACTCACACTGAAGTGGCTTCTGTGAGCTTCACAGTGCTGCTCTTTAACTTGTTCCACCAACCAGGAAGGCCTAAAACCTCTGTTTTCAAGAAAATTTATGTCTGACAGGGTTAAGCAAATACAGTTTGAATGTAGTATGGCATCTCGCAAAAATTGAAGAAAGCTATAGTCTTCCAAGGAAGATTACCTAGCCCAGCCTGTGTTCTTGGGTCAGAATATTATTTAGGACCTAAATCTGAACAAAATTGGGAGTTAGCTGAAGAGGGCTGAATAAAGAAGCAGTTATCTAACTTGTAATGAATGAATGTAGAGTAATTTTAGATCTGTTGTCAATAATTTAAGGTGAAGTAACTGAATAACATGAAGTTTGGGGTTATTTTTTTCTCCATTTGTTTTTCCTAAAAGGTACAACTGGATTTGGTACAAACCCAGGTGGTCTCTTTGGCCAACAGAATCAACAGACTACCAGCCTCTTCAGCAAACCATTTGGCCAGACTACAACTACCCAGAACACTGGTTTTTCCTTTGGTAATACCAGCACACTGGGACAGCCAAGTACTAACACTATGGTAAGGACACAGACCCTTACTAGTTCCTATTTGTAGAATTAAGTCATGAAGCTTTGAATCCAATCAAACTAGTTAGGTTCTTCTGAGTTTCTTTCCTGGTAACCAGTAACTTTTGGCTGTATTTTTCTGTTTTCTTGGTTTTTTATATTCCAAAAATAAGTGAAGCCATCTAATGTTTGACCTTCTTACCATTTCTCTTAGCATAATTATCTCAAGATCCATCCCTTGTCCAAAGGGCAAAATATAGTGTGCTTACAGTGGATAAATATTATGTATGCTAATTACATCTCAATAAAACTGTTTGAAAAATTAATTGAATTTTCAGTTCAGCAATATTCACAGTGTTTTTCTTTTGTTAGCTAGTGCATAAATAAAAGTTCTTAAACATTAGATAAGATTTTGCTTGTTTGAAATGGTATCGTTTCTTAAAATAAGAAGATATTAACAGTGTGCTTCTTCTATTCTGATTAATTTATTTTCAGTTACTTGTTTCAAAACCCATTCCCCAACTCAGTATTAACAAGTTCTTTTGGCATAACTTTGAAAATTAAGCATCTTGGCATACCATTTTGTTTTGACAGCCTGATATCTCCTATAGCACAAGAACATTTGTAAGGTTGTATTAGTTGCTCAGAGCCTTGGTATACTTATCAGGTTTAGATACAGGTATGAAGTTTTGGTTCTGCCACTGAGGAAGTATTATAAGTATTATGTGTTAGGCACATTAACTGTTCTAAGCTTTTTTTTTTTTTTTTTTGAAAATGGCTGTCAGTGCTATTGTGAAGAAAAGATGGGTACTGAAAAAAGTATTTAGAATAGTATCTGTCAGAGTTTTTAAAAAGTAGCAACTATAATTTTTAATGTATGACTCTTAAAAGCTGATTAGGACATATTGTAACCTACATTACCTTTTGCAGGGTTTATTTGGAGTAACCCAAGCCTCACAGCCTGGAGGTCTTTTTGGGACAGCAACAAACACCAACACTGGCACAGCATTTGGAACAGGAACAAGTCTCTTTGGGCAGAACAATACTGGATTTGGTGCTGTTAGTTCGGTAGGTTTTTATAGTTGACTAATTTGAAGATAGGTATAAATCTGTTAAAGTGATTTTCTAAGAAAGAGTTGATTGTCTTTCAAGTATCTCTGTTGGGTATATTGTATGACTTATACTGATGATAGCAAAGAGTGCAAAATAACTTGGTAACTTCAATAGGTTAGTTCTCAAATAATTTTCTAAAAGGTCTGTATCTCAGTGCTTATGTGCAGTTTACTTTTGATAACAAAATATCACTGTAATTGGCTAGTTTAAATTGCTGAGTCTGAATTGAGATACTTTTGCTTCTAAAATTAGGTAATTTTTGATCCTAGTTGTAAATTGTTTTGGGTGATTAACTGGTATATTTCAAAGTTGAGATTTTAAGTATTTTTGGTATTGAACAAGTTGCTAAAATTGTGTTCTTATAGTTACCAGGCTGCTGGAGACTTAGCTGAACTTTTGCTTTGCTAAGTATTTTAGTAAAAAATTACTATTTGGGAATTTACTTAACCTAAAAATTATAAATATTATATTACCAATTAAAGAAATTATATGAGAACCATTATGAAATTGTTAATCTGTGCTATTTACTTATTATAAAAATTTTTGAACATGCTGTTGTAGGTAGTTGAAAAGAAAAATCTCAAAAACAGGTTTGTTTTCATGAAAATTGAAATCTTAACTTTGAGCAGCTAATTGAAGTTAGGAATTGGAAATACAGTGTTTAACAAAGTTCTTGTTATCTTTAATAACAAGTTTATTGAGATATTATCTACATGCCATACAGTTTACTCTTAAAGTTTAATATGTTCACAGAGTGTGCAGCTATCGCCAAAGTAACAGGAAAACCCAAACTCTTCAGTAGTTACTTCTCATTTTCCGTTAGTCACTTCAACCTGCTTTCTGTTCATAGATTTACCTATTCTGGATATTTCATATAAATAGAATCACCTAATGTGTGGTCTTTGGTAACTTTACTCATTTAGCAATCATGTTTTGAGAGTTCGTTTTTGCTTTAGCATGTGTAATTTTCTACTGGTAAATTAAATACATGATATATTTCTGTTTCAAAGTAAAAAATATTTCATTGCCTTGTACTTTTTTTTAACCTAATCGAAACCTTGTGTTTGTTGAGGGGTTACCATTAACTTCTCAGTCTAGGAGCATTCTGTGTTTATAAGGTTAATCTTGCTCAGATAAGTTTATCTCTCTGATAGTCTTTATTCATTCTCCTTGTCCTTTTCATAGAAATTAATTTATCTTTCCTAATCCAGTATAACTGAGGTAGCCTTTCTTTATTGTCTGGAATGAGTCTTTATATACTTAAAATTTTTCTATGTTCTGTTCTTTTTAGACCCTGTTTGGCAGTAACAAGCTTACTACATTTGGAACCAGCACAACCAGTGCTCCCTCATTTGGTACAACCAGTGGCGGGCTCTTTGGTAACAAACCAACCCTGACTTTAGGAACCAATACAAACACTTCCAATTTTGGTACATATAAAAAGCAGGTTTGACTCTCTTAAAGTTACACTGACTATACCACACGTCATTCTCCTGATTCATATGATTGGGAATATTTTAAAATTCTCAGGTAAGCTGTGGCTTGATGTGAGGTACGAAGCACCAGAGGGAAAGGTTTAAAATCATAGACATGGGTGAGGTACTTAGAAGAGATTTAAATTCATTTTTCCTCTTAACTGCTTTGGATAAAACAGGCCATCAGCACATGCAGAAAGTTGATTGTCTAATGGAAGTATTTTTTCCAAAATAAGGAAAGCACTCTCTTTGGGTTAGATCACCAGTAGTTTTAAACCATAAGTAACACGTTTGATTGAGATGAACACATTTTGTTAGGCCAGGTTTCAAGTGAGAAGTAATACAGAAATGAGAACTTATGATTCTTTTGTTTGTTGTTGTTTTGGTTTTGGTGGTTGTTTTTGAGATTTGATGATTCTTACTTTGAGGTAAATTCTAATTTGGTGGATTATTCAGTAGTTTTGATGTTGCAAACATTGAGTACATGTTTACTGTAAGACATGGGATTGAATGACATTAAAAAAACTCAACTACTCTTCAGAGATGGAAAAATTTAGGCCCATATAATTAGAAATATTTTTTCACTGCCTTCCATAACTAAGTTTGCAAACAAATTCAGCATTACTTGTGTTAAACCAAATATGGAAAATTAATTATCAAGTTAAATACTTATTTAAGGATTTCCTGTGCCAGATAAATCATTAGGCACTGGTTATCTAGTAGAAGAGGAGTGCTAAGGCATATTTATTTGCCATAGGTTAGTTAGCACTTACACATTTCTCAATGAATTTATATTGGTTTTTTAAATAGTTATTTTTATTTATGCATGCATGCAAGAATTGGTGTGTAGACCAGAAATATAGGGGTTGAGAGAATTCATTAGAGAGAGAACAGGGAGCAGATCTACTGAAATATACTGCTGAGGGGAGCAGCGAGCAAAACAGGAAAGATCTGCTGTGCCATGTGGTTGAGCTCCCTGGCTGGGGATTGAACTCTTACAGCAGTGGCTGACCGCAGCTTGATAACACTGAGATTTTCACCCCTGCGCCACCAGGGAAGCCCCTTTTCAGTGAGCTTTTGAGTGCTCTTGTAATGTGCTGGTGAAAGAGGCTGCATAAAGCATCCTTTAGAAGATTTTTATGTCTGCACAGAAATATGAACTGCATGGACAACATAGAAGGTTAATGGCACATACCAATTCCTAATTTTTGTATTTGATTTGATTTTTTATAGCCTCTTTTGCTTACTCACTGGTAGTAATGACTATTGTTCCATCCATAAGTACTTTTGATTATAATCTATGAGAGAGGTTTTTAGGAAGTGGCCTTAGCATGGGTAAGGTTTCAATTTGTGTATTTGTTTCTTTGTTACAAATAGAATTAAGATGGAAAAGATATTTAAGGGTTAAATAGAGCCATTTTTATCACTATCCCTCCCTCTTCTCCAAGGAGTCTTTTTAGACCACTGTTTGTTTGTTCACTATCTTACCCCATGAAGACATACCATATACATACTACATATTTATTAATGTATAGTCCCTTAAAGGGCCCATTTTATATCTATGATTTGTTTTTTTTTGATATATCTGATTTTTTTTAAATACTTGGATAGAACCAATTTATACTCTTCAAAATGCATTTTTTTTTTCTGGAAAACTCAGTTTTCAGAATTAAATGTTATTTATAACGGTACTAGTACAGGCTGTACTTTTTTTTTTTTTTTTTAAGATTTATTTATTTATGCATACACAGCTGGGGTACAGGCCAGAGGTACAGGGTGGTGAGAGGATTTACCAGAGACAGAGTGGGGAGCAGAACAGGCTGACTGAAAGTACACTGCTGAGGGGAGCAGTGGGCGGGTCAGGAGAGGTCTGCCTCACTATGTGACTCACCTCCAGGGTAGGTGGGGATCGAACTCATGCTGAAGTGACTTTAGCTTCTTAGTGCTGTGCTTTAACCCACTGCGCCACCACAGACGGTCCCAGTACAGGCTGTACTTAATTTAAACAAAAAAAAGCTGGGCTTCTGAAATACATTTGATATTATTCCATGGTTCCAGATACCTGATTTGTTTGGAGGCCTTTGTTGTATGAATATACTCATGTTTAATGATTTGAAAATGAATATTCTTATTTTTATCTGATAAGCCTTACTAATTTATGTGCTAAATTTGAATTGTCCTTTTTTCTTTAAGTCCCAGTAATGACTAGTGCCTGGCATAGAGTAATAAGGTGCTTACTAAATGTTTGTTTGAGGAATTAAAATTATAGAACGAGTACATAGGGTCAGAGAGAAAGGATTCACTGTAAGTTAGATGGGGGTGATAAGTTTTGTTCTCGTAGGTGAATTTATCATTCCCTTACTACCCTTAAGTGATCCAGATAGAAGATTTTCTTTCCTATTTTCGTAAGAATCTGTTAACTTCAGCTTTATAGGCAGACATAGTCTTTTTTTTTTTTTTTTTAAAGATTGATATTTATCTTTACAAGAATTGGGGTGTAGGCCAGAGGTGTGGTGGGGGGCAGTGAGAGGATTCACCAGAGACATAGTGGGTAACAGATTAGGCAGATCAAGTGATATACACTGCTGAGGGGTGTAGCGGGCAGTTCAAGAGGTCTGCTGTGCCATGTGGGTCATCTCACTGGCCAGGGATCAAACTCCTGCTTGCAAGGGCTGCAGATAGTGCCACAGTGCTGCGCTTTAACACTTTGCTTTGCCAGGGAGGGCCCCAGAGATAGTTATTGTTAATTTTACTTTATACAATATGAAATTGTGTTTCATTTTGATTATAATTAAGCCATAGAGTTAAAGGTTGGAATATGTGCTAGAATTGATGTTTCCAGATCTTTAAGTAATTATTTAGTCATTATCATTTTCTTAATAGTTATTTGGTAGGGATGAATTTTAAGACTTCTGAATATAAGTATATATAAATTCCTGAGTGAATGGAGTTGAATTGTTTCAGGGAGGATGCCCGCACTTAACAGTTGAAAGAATTTAAAGATCCTTTGGGTACAAATAAAATGATGCCACAAAATAAATCATTGGTTCTTCCATGCTATAGTGGTTATGGGGATAGTTAGTTATTTGCATACATAAACACTTTTTTTTTAATAAACCGCTTTTCTTTTTAAATCAAGACAGCAAATTGATATAACGTTCATGACATGCAGTATTTGTATATATAGTGAAATGATCAGATAACTTAGTCAACACGTGTCACCACACTTAGTTTCAAAGTATTTTTTTTTCCTGTGTTAACTTTTAAGATCTTTCTTGGCAACCTTCAAAATGTAATACAATATTTTTTTTTCCAAAAATTTGTTTATTTATGCATAAAAGAACTAGATTATAGACCAGAGGTGCTAGGAATGAGAGGGTTCACCAGACACAGAATGAGGAACAGAACAGGTGGATTGACTGAAATACACTGCTGAGGAAAGCAGTAGTTGAGACATGAAAGGTCTGCTGTGCAATGTGGGTCACCTCCCTGGCTGGGGATCAGACTTCATGCTGCAGTGGCTGCCAATAGCTTCATAGTGCTATACTTTAACCTTTGTGCCAGCAGGGAGGACCATGCTGTACTTTTTATCACTGTGATTTTTTATTTTTTATGCATCTATTTACATCATTGTTCATTTTACAACAATGTTTACTTCCCCCTCCTCTCCTCTCATCACCATAGCCCCCCACATTCCTCCCTCCAACTTAAGTTATTCTATAACTAGAGTCTAAATATTAATGAGGTTAGACTGTGTTTTGTCTTTCCCAGTTGCACCTAAGTCATTTAGCATATTGTCTGCTATATCCATCCTTATTGTTACACATGGTATAATATTTTTTTATGGCTGAATAATAACCTATTGTGTGTGTGTGTGTACAGCCTGTGTGTATGGCTAAATATGCTTATTTCTGTATTTATTAATGGATACTTAAGTTGTTTGTACCTGTGTCAGTACATAGATATATTTCTGTATTCATTAACGAATACTTAGTTTCCATATATTGGGTATTATAAATTATGCTGTAGTGTAAGTGAGGGTGCATATATCTTGTAGATTAAGTGTTTTTGTTTTCTCATGGTAGTTCTATTTTAAATTTTTTGAGGAACCTTAATATTTTCCATAAAGGCTGCACCAGTTTTACATTCCTGCCAACTATGCACAAGGGTCCCCTTTTCTCCTCATCCTCACTAAGACTTTTTATTTCTGGTCTTTTAGTAATAGTTGTTCTAACAGGTGTGTGGTGATACTGTGATTTTTATTTGCATTTTCCTGATAATTAATGATGTCAAACATCTTTTCATGTACCTGTTGGTTATCTGTATGTCTCCTTTTGAAAATGTTCGTATCCTCAGTCTTATATTTGGTAACTACTTAACAAATATGTGATTTACAGATTATTTTCACCCATTTGTTTGGATGTCTTTTCATCTTGTTGTTTCCTTTGTGGTACAGACACTTAACTTTTGTTTCTTTGTTTTTGTGTGTCAAATCGAAAAACTCATTGCCAAGATCATTGTCAAGGTGCTTATTTGTATATGTTTTCTTTTAGGAATTTTATGATTTCAGGCCTTAAATTTAAGTATTTGATCCATTTTGAGTCAGTTTTTGTTTATGGTATAAGATAGGGGTCCAGTTTTCATTCTTTTGCATGTGACTGTCCAGTTTTCTCATCATGATTTATTGAATAGACTGTCCTTTGTATAGCCTTAGCTCCTTTGTCATACATATATTGATCATTAATTAAATGATAATCTGTAATTTAAAAAAATGTTATGAATTAAGAGTTGATAAACTTTTGTCAGAATCGGAGGAAATGTGTGGTATAAACAGTGTAAGTTGGGACTAATTTCCCTCTTGTGGGTTTGAGGTAGTTCACAAGTTTTGTGTTTTCTGCTGTTTATGATTAAATTTTAACTCAAAAAGAAAAAGAATATTTCCTTGTGTATATATATTTTTTAATAAGAAAATTGGTTGTGCTTGAGTAGTAGAACTCCATTTTTATGGCATAGCTGTTAACACAATTGAAGAAAATATTTAATGATTGCATGAATTCAGTGCCTTGAGATTGTCATTATTTGTGTGGATTTTCAAATGACAGAACTATTTTCAAAAATACTTAAGGTGTTTTACAGAGTTACTGTCCAATGATTATTTTTTTTCTGTTATCAAAGAGATTTAATGATAGGTATTTTAGTGGTCTTGTTGGTAATAAGCTCCAAAAGGAATGCAGAAACTTTGCAGATGTGTATCTGTATGATGGAGAAATAACATCAGCAAAGTAATGTAGATAACTGTGGGAAGACTGGATTTTAAAAGGAAATCATAACATTTTCTTCAAATGATGGGTTTAGTAAAGGAAGATTTCTTCATCTCTCTGTTTCTGATCATTACAGTTCTGTATAAGAAAATTTATTTATAGATTGTCTTCTCTTTTTAATATCATCTAGTTGAATCTTCAAATCCTATCAAATGATTGAGTGTGATACAATTGAAATTTCACATGTGAGCAGCCACATGTTAACTGTTCTTGTCAATAGAAAAGCTTCTACAGAGATCTTTATTGGTAGTTTTCTTTGAAGAAATAACTGTAGGTTCAATGAAGTTTGTTGGCTGTATTATTTTTAGTGAAGTTTGAGGGAATGAGATTTTTCTTCCAGAAGTTACACATGAAACAGGGGCTGAAAGTTTTGACCCTTACGAAGGGAAGTCTCAAATCACTTTGCCTTTAATTTATGGTTATTATCCTACTCTGAACTTAACATTTCAAGTATGAAATGTGATCAAGTAAATAGGAAGAATCTGTAGTACCTATTTATAGACATTAAAATTAAATCTTAAATAGTTAAATTAATTTAACATTTTTGGTTTTCTAAATATTGATATCTGAAAGGATATGAAATTTAGTGTCAGACTGTTTTTTTTTTAAACTCCCTTTAATAGGAAATTGATGATTGTGTTGAAAGTACAGTTCACTTACTCTCTTTGTCTTCCTAGGTTTTGGCACAAATACCAGTGGGAATAGTATTTTTGGAAGTAAACCAGGACCTGGGACTCTGGGAACTGGGCTTAATGCAGGATTTGGAACAGGTAAAGAATTGTAATGTTAAATTTACTTACTAATTGCCTGTATTTGATCATACGCCTAGAAATAAGCTTAGATTTCCATTTCATAAATGAACTTATTAAACATTCTTAGCAGTTATGCATCATCAGATTTTTAAATGTTGGCATGTTTGTCTTAGAACCTCTATGCTTTCTTCCTACAAAATGTTGTCCTCTGATAGTCCTGGTCTTTCTGGAGTTTTCAGTATTTCATACTTGTCACTATAATGATGCTAATTTTCAGTTCCTCTGTATTAACCTTTGCAAAAGGTATTTGAGACCTTGAACTGTTTGTCAGGTAAGGTTTATTAACCTAATAATACCTTACTTTAAAAAGACATAGCAATAAAAGCATACACTATTAATTAACAAATACTTGACGTTTTCAAGGTCTGTGTATATCCTTCCAATCTTTTGTGATAAAGAACTTTTGTGAATTACTAGACATGATTATTTTTTCAGTACCTTTGAAGACTTTTATCCTCTACATGTCTAGCATTTTAAACAACTGGAGGGTGGTGGGTGACAGGTGGTCATAAAATGAGTAAGTGTATCAGGGTGTGAACTTACTGAATTGTTTTTTTTTTAAACATTTGACTTTACCTGCATCCCCGTCTACTGTATGCAAGCAGTCATTTAATGGCAAATCATTTTATTTCCATGGTCTCTACTTATACTGTCCACTTATCTCTGATCATTTAATATCTCCTTTTTAATAGAATCTCGTTTTATACGCTGAGGTATTTTTACTTTCTTTTTAAAATAGAAGATTGTAAGCACTAGTAAGATATGCCAATAATTATGGTAGTATCATGAGAAGCTCATGTCTTTCAACTGTGAATTAAGGTTATTAAAAATTTAGCATGTATCTTGTGAGACTTTCATGTACGTTTGCATGTATAGGTGTTTGTACATAGGTGTTTTATGTAGATGGAATTCTTTGTTACATTGTTAAAAGGAAATCATATCCTACATGAGTATTTTTTTAAGTGAAGTCTGATTTACATTATTAGTTGGATATTAATGTGGGCTGCAATCAGCATTTTAAAATAATGAAGTAGAACTTTAAAAAAATGTACATAGCAAACTTAAGTATTGTTTCATTAAACTTTGTTGCACTAGGTGTAAGTGTGATGTTTTAGGTCTTAGTGTTTTTTATGTTGTGTACTAGAGTAAAATGTTTCAAACTGAGAGCAACTGCTTCAAGTGATCGTTCTTTAAGAATGTTGTTTAATGCAGTTGTTTATTTCTTTACTGAAGTAAATAGTTTATATCTTGTTAATATTTTGACAATATAGGATTTTTCCCATTAAGGAAAACACACCATAATTTAACCTTTTCTTATTGACAGACATTTGACTTATTTGATATAACCAGCAATTCAGTAATGAAGAATTTTGTCATACAGTTGCATTGATATTATAGGGTTGATAAAAGTGCCTAGTTTCCTCTACCTTTTATGTGTACTTTTTCATTTTTGCATACATATTGGAATAGATATATTCTAATTTACACTTAACTGATTTCTGGTAACGGCTATCTTTTTATGTGTTTATGGGCTGTTTGAATCTTTCAGTTTTTATTCATAATATTTGATAATTTTTTCCTAATTTTTGAGCATGCTTTTATACATTATGGATATTAACTTTTTGTATGTATGATGATTTGATTTGAGCTTTTTAGCTTATCATATTCTACTACATATCTTTTGTAAGAAATAATTAAAAAGTCTGTGTTCAGTTTGATCCCTAGCTCAAATCAAATTCTACTACATATCTTTTGTAGAAATTAAGAGCTAAAAAGTTTTTGTTCACTTTGATCACTAAGTTTATACAGAGCATATCATTGTACATCAATGTTCTCTTCTAATTTTGGAGGAAAAAATTAACTTTGGTATGGGTTAATTAAGGGCTTTTTCAGGGGTGGTTTTGACTGTACACAGTTTATGAACTGGAAATATAAGGCTTGGATTCACATACAAGCTTACTTTTTATAGTCAGTGTTACCATTTTCTCCTCTTTGATGTTTGGGTCTCATGGGTTTTGGTTACTTGTGACCCAAGATTATAAAATGTTCTGTAACTTTTCTTCTGATGTTGCTATCTTCTATTCCACAGTAGTATAATATCTCAGCCTTTTTATTTATTTGAACATGGAATTTTTCTTAAATAGTTCTACCTCATGGACCAGAGATCACATTTTATTGCTCTTACATATTCCTCATTCCTGCCTTATCCCAATTCAAATGCAATTTGATGAAGAATTTTACATCCTTGGCAGCAGTAGATCATGTAGGAAAATAAGAATGTAATAATCGCCAGTCATACACTGTTGGAATTCTTTGAGATTCACATTCTACTAAACTTTTGACTTTGAAAGGTGAATGTTGCATTTCGTGGAATGGCAAGTAGAACAGCTGTTTTAAAACAGCAGTGTGCAGTCTCTGCTTTCAGTAGAGCTTCAAGTGCACACCTCAACTAAAGCATATTTTCCTGTAACATAGGGTACCTCATGAGTAATTGACTATAGAAATATTAAGTGTACAGTACATAAGATTTTTAAGAGACCAATTTTAATATAAAATGTTTCATGTTGTCCTTTAGCATTCAACATCTCCCTTTTCCCCCTTGTGCTCAAGTGGGGAACACTGATTAAATTATATGTCGTGTATATGTCATTTTCTTGTTTCACAGTGATATGAGTTGTCATTAGTACTAGTAATAGTACCATTTTCTTAGTTGTTATTCAGTAATAATCAGTTTTAGTTCCTAGATTTTTTCCATAAAGTTGTAAGAGTATATCTAGTAAGATGATTGTTAAACACTAAAATATATACAAGAAATCAACCCAAAGTGAACTGCTAAGCTAAAATTAAATTCTGACATTTAGTAAAAGATCTCAAAGGAAATGTAAACATTTTCACTTTTTATTTACATATTCTTAGAAGTTTTTTTTTTTAAGCACTGAACATAGTTTTATTGGAAGATGTTTGCACAGATACAAGTTGGCAGAAGGAGCTGAAATTTTAAAACCATTTATGCCATCTCCATATGTCTTACTTAGGACTTCTATAACTAATAAGTATAATGCTTTTCATAAATTGACATTTATAATATATCAGAATTAGACTGTTCTGCTTTCATTAAATTTCAAAAGGCACTTGTATGTAATATAAAATAAAATAGGTTTTTACTGTTAATTGAGTTTCAAAATATGCAGGCAGATCATTTTATAATAGTCCCTTTCCAAATCTCCTGAACCTCCAATGTTTTTTTTAATCTTCTGTGGCTCTTTGTTCACTCCACTACAAAGGTGAATGGAAATGTACACCTGTCCAGAAAAGAAATTTTTTTCACCCTGCTCCAGCATACCTGGACAGAAAAGAAATTTTTATCCATTTTATATATTCAGGTTTTCATCCAAGTTTTTTGGAGAGAATTACAGAGATTTTTTCTACCTGGAAAGATAAAGAATCCTGAATTAGTGCTGTAAGCTATATCTTTTGATAAGAGTAGGATAATATTAGTTTTTCTTGGAAATTTAACCAATTTTTAATGGTTTGGAGCTTTAAAAGTTTTAGTTCTTATTCCACAGTTGGGCATTTTAAGGTGTAATAATCCCATTGCTACATTGTTGACTTGTTTAGTAATAAGGTCAGACAGTTAAGGGATGTTTTTGTCCATTCAGTAGTGACCCTTCCTAATTTATAGTATATGGATTCTAAATATAAACTTCCTATCCTTTTCTGGGCTATGAACTTCAATTATTATATCTTTGAAATGGTTTTCCCTGGTAAATCATAGCTCTGTCAAGATGTAGTTGATAATTACAGGGGATTTTCAGTTTTTTCAAATTGCCAGTAACTTTTGAGGATGATAATTTTTAAATAATTTATGACAGTAATTTATTTTAAATGGCTAAGTTCTCCCCATTTTACACAAAGATAACAAAGTCCATGCTAAGATGCATCAGACCTTATAATACTACAAGGATTTCCCCCTGGTGAAAATAAGTCCCTGTTCCATCCAGTGCTGAAGCTTAGCTTGACTGTTTAGTCATTACAAAACACTTCACTTTTTATAAAACAAAATGTTTGTCTAAAGTATTTTTCATGAGATGGTACATTTGAATTTTTTTTTCTATCAAATGAAAATACATTGGTTTGGTTTTCCATAGTTTATTCTATATGCCAGTCAAAAAGATGATACTGTGATTGGTTCAGTGGAATACTTTGTTGGTTTGCTTGTCTGTTTGTTTTTTACATTTTTAAAGGACAGGTTTATTAGGAAAAGGAGAAAAAGAGGCACCTGCATATTCACAGGTGGGCAGGAGCTCTCTCATTATTTTGATTTATAAACATTTCATGTTTTAATTCTTTTAAAATTTGTCTTACATTAGAATTGCAGTTATGAATCTTGGTTATATTGTTAGATGCAGTGATATTTGTACCCTTTTTATTTTTATAGCACTTGTGATGCTGAACCAGTTACTAAACCCTCAATTTTTTTTAATCTGTAAAATGTAGGAAAAGTTCTACTTCTGTCCTTATGCAGATTAAAAGAGATGTTACTAGCTAATATTTAGTGAATGTTAGTGTCTACTAGGCCTTTTCTAAAAGCTTTAATATATGTTTATTCATTTTAATCTTAAGATGACTATCTAAACTGTATTATCTATATGATAGTTGTAGAAAACAAAGCACAGAAAGTTAAATATTTTGCCTGTGACATCTGTGATATAATCAGCTCAGTGCCTGACATATGGGTAGTATTTGCTGTATTAATCCTTTTCTTGAAATAAGTGGTTATTATAAAGTTGCCAAATGTATTTTATTCTTAAGTAACTGATCTCTGGCACAACATTCAAAGGATCTTCTGTAGCACTTTTTTCTTTCCTCTTGTCTCCATAGCTCTTGGTACTGGACAGGCATCTTTATTTGGGAACAGCCAACCTAAGATCGGAGGGACTCTTGGTACAGGAGCCTTTGGGGTCCCTGGATTTAATACCACAACAGCCACTTTGGGCTTTGGAGCCCCCCAGGCCCCAGTAGGTAAGTGTCAGTCACTTTAGAAGGCATTACTCAGTTTATTTCCTGCTAATATTATGACCTGATTTTCTATCCCATCCTTATCCCACCCCTCTCAAAGCAGTACATACATGAATACCATTGAACAGTCAGTAGTTACAAAGGGCTTTTCATAATTGTGACTTTTCATGATTCCCCACTCCCAGGTCTACTCCCCCAAAGAGATTACTTTTGTTATAGCATTAAATTTATTTGATATATAATTGTTTTTATTTATAAATGATTTGCTTATATACTGCTATGTTTTGCTTTTGTAGGTTTATAATAAATTAATTTTTTAATGATAGAGTATTTTGCACATTTTATCACCTCTACATTCTTTACTTCTCCCAGTATAAACTGTTTCCTCGCTTAATTTTTTTAAGTGATTTTTCACACTTTACTCATTTGAATACACCTCAGTTTTTGCAATATATGATTATTTCTAATTTAAAATTACTACTGATTATTTCTAATTTAAAATTAGCTTTTTAACTTAAATATTTTTTGAAGAAAATTGTATTGGAAATGAAAAGTTATCATTTGACATAGAAAAACTGATATAATTTCTGTACCATTAAAATTAATCTATATTATCATAGTCCTTGTACCTGTTAACTTACGCAAATGGAAGCTATACTATTTTGTCAAGTAGGCGATGATACTTACTGCTTTGTCAGGTAGAGATGTTAAGTGCTCTCCCTTAACCTTTTCTTATTCCTTTTGTTCTATATTCTATATTTTTTTATGTTGATGAAGTTGATAACATATTCTGTTCCATAATTATTATTGTCTCTTCTTTGGTCAAGAATTTTTTTTTTTTTTTTTTGATTTGCCAGTCACCTACATAATAATAATTTTGGGAGTATGACTTTACACTTTGATATATGTACATACTTTACTCATCCTCCATTAAAGCTCCAGTTCCAAGGCTCTATCCTTACCTATCCTCCCTAGCCCTTCTCTCTTCCCTATGCCTCTGGTAACCACTATATTTTTCACAGGATCTAAGAATTATTTTTGCTGTGTTAAGTAATTGACACGTTACAAATACAGCATTTTATTATAGCTATGAAAACATTGCTATCTACCCAAGTATATCATTCTCCCATAGCTTTTTCTTTTTTCCTGGAATTTTTTATTTTTTCCCTCAAATTATCAGCTTTTATTGCCTTAACTAAACTAAACCTCCTTTACCTTCCTACAAATTCTTAAGGATGGTATCAGAACTCCTTTACCCTGATACTTTATTCTTTGATTGCTCTGTCCTCCTGCATTTATGAGCTGATTATTACTCAGACTTTCACCCTTACTCTGGGATATTTCCTTCATCTATTCAGTGGGAAGTGCTAGACACAAGATATTAGGGCTTTTTCTATATCAAGGAATATATGTAAAAGGTAGACTTTTTGACTACATAAAGCCAGAAAATGTCTTCACTTTTTTCCTTCTCTCGATTCCCTCAGAGGGAAAAATAATTCACCTCTGAACTTGAGATATATTTCTTCTTGTATTAACCATTACAGATTGTAATGGTATTGCAATTGTATTAACCTTTCTGATTCTTGAGAGTTGTTCTGCTTCACCCTACAAGCATTAAAACTATTCCTTTGCCCTAAGATTTCATTGATTTGCTTAGACCTTTTCTAACTTAATACTTACAATTTTAACCTGTTTCTACCTTCTTGGAGAATTTTGATTGTCTTCTAAGTAATCTTTTTCAACTTATTGCTTGTAAAAAGGAAAAGTTCCTTTTTTGCCTCAAACATGTAATTTTTACAAAATTTTTTTTTGACTTTGAATTTGATAATTTGGTTTAATTTTTTTAGGGTTCTTCTGTTCCTTAACTTTCAGAGTGATTTTGATTTTGCTCTTTAATGCTTGGCAGTTTGTTCCTTCATATTTAGAAAGGAAATGATAAATTCTCTTATTTGCCATGGCAAACTATATATAGGGTAGAACTTACTTACCAATAGGTTTCACTTTAATGTAAATAATACAGGAGCCAGCTGTTTCTGAATGATAAAATGTCACGTTCTTAGCTCTAAAATGATGCTAGTTGCCTTTGTTCCTTCTATACATTAGCTTTATTCCACCAGAGATACAGTGTCCCAATATTTTGGTCTATCTGTTGATCATCAGGGATTAGGAGGATCACGGTGTAGCTATCTTGCAAGGGTACTTTGTGTTGATTCTTCTCTTATTTTCAGTGTCAGGTCTTTAAAATTGATAATATTGAATCCCTAACCCTTCTGGAATTTTCAGAAAAGATATGCTTTGCTTTCAGTATACTCTCTAAGTTGTAATTTGCTGTGTTTTATCATTCTCCTGTCCATTTTGCCCTAGAAATGCATTTTCTTTTTCATTTGTTATCTTCCCATTCATAATGGGTTACATAAATACATTTTAATTTTGTTTGACCATTGATTTTAATTTATGGGTCTATAGTCAGTTGTTCTAAACTATACTCCTAAATAAAGGTCTTGGAGAGAGAATTTTGATTGATCTCTCTGTGAACATTAAAATAAGATTTATTATTAACTTTTTTAAAGATTAATTTATTTATGCATACAAGAACTGGGATACACCTCCCTTCCTGGGAATGGAACTCCTGCTGCTGTGGATGTGCATAGCATCCCAGTGCTGCCCCTTGGGCCACCAGGGAGGCCCCCCCTCATTGAATGTTTTTCCCCTTCTCCCCCCAAGATTTAAATGTATGCATACAGAACTGGGTACAAGCCAGAGGTGCAGGGGAGGTGAGATGAATCACCAGAGAAAGAATGGGAAGCAGAACAGGCAGATTTATGAAGTACACTACTGAGGGAAGCAGCAGGCAAGACAGGAGATGTCTGTCTGTGTGCCCTGTGGGTCACCTCCCCTGCCATCCAGGGATCAAGCTCATGCCTAAGAGTTTGCTGCCAGCTTCGCATGCTGAACTTTAACCCATTGTGTCACAAGGGAGGCCTCTTTTTGAATGGTTTTAATAATCCTGCTTTTTTTTATCCCAATACCAATGAAAAGGTCTTAATCTAAGAATTTAACATAATAATTGTATCCATTAGTGTTACTGCCCATTTCTAAGTGGCGATAGTGACTTTGTACCAAGGACTCTTACTTGGAAGGTCCTTTTTAATGTGAGTCTATCCTTCTTTTGGTAATCCCCTACTTGTTTTATAAAGCTCAGTTACAGTGGTTTCCTTTAGTTCAGTTTAGTGCATTGGTTTGTTCAGGTTGTTTTGAAAACTAAAACCTATCTCCATAGAATCCAGTATTCTACTTCTTTTTTTTAATTATTTTGTCTTTCACATCATTGTGTATACCCCATAAAATTCCCACCACCAGTTTACCTGTGAACCATCATCATCATCATCGTCCGTGTGCTGGTCTCTCCTGTTTTGATCCCTTTTCCTCACCTTCCCTTGATGAATGTCTCTTATTTGTTGCTAGTTTTGTTGTTTTATTTCTAATAGAAATTTATTTAGGCCTTATACATATATGTTGTCTTTTAGTTTTTGTTTTGTTTTGTTTTTTCATTTTTTCATCTTGGTTGTAATTCCTGTGGACTTTCCACTACCAGTCTGTGGTGATGTGCCATCACCACAGCCCAGTGCACTCTTCCCACCCAGTTTTGATCCTATTTTCCTCTCCACCCCACTTCTACTTCTTAAAGCTAAGCAAAATCAATCTGTAATAATTTCTTTGTGGTAATCTTATTGTCTTTCTTCCAGATAAATTGTCATCAGTTTCTCCTCTTCTCAAAAGATTTCATTTTATACTTTTTATTAGCCCTTTAGTTATTTGGTCCTGGTGTAGTTTTTACGTGGTGGCATCAGCTGGTACAGGTCAAGGTTTTTTTCTTTTAATACCTGTCAAGTAACAGACTGACCAGTGAATATCAGAATTCTTTTAAAATAACCATGTTTTCCGAGAAAATAACAAAAATAATGAGCAACCATATACCAGAGACATTTTGCGGGGGTGTGGGGAATGGGATCAAAAACGGGGGGAGGGGGCGGGTTGGGGTGGTAGGGAGGGAAGTGCACGGGATTATGGTGATGGCACACGGGTGACATGGTGATGGGAAACCCGTGGGGATTACAATTGAGATGGGGAAAAAATGTACAAAAAAAAAACCCCATGTTTTCTTTGGAACAAAGGCTAAAGTTTGCTGAGTATTCACTTCATGAGTTAGAAAGAATAAGAAAATAAGCCCAAAGAGAGTAAAAGGATAAAAATCACAGAATTAAAAATAGAAATTAAACCAAAGAAACATGCCTATAGAAGGTCGCCATAGCCAGAAGTTGACTTTTTTTAAAGATGAAAATCTCAAAAAGAAGAAAGATTCAGTCATCCAATGTTATGTCAAGAGAATCTAACTTAATAGTGTTGTAGATATTAAAAGGCAGTAAGAGAATTACAAGAGACTTTATGCCAGTGAATTTAAAATTTTAGATAAAATGGGTAGTTTCTAAGAAAAAGTAACTAGTCAAAACTAATTCAAGAAAAAGTAAATGGATATAAGTTTTAAAGAAATAAATTCAGTAATTTAAAAACATTTCTATAAACTTGAAGCCAAGGTAGTGTCTCAAATGATTTTTACTATATATACAATCAAGAAAAATAATTTCAGGGCTCTCCCTGGTGGCACAGTGAGTAAGCACCACATTATGAAGCTCTCTGACGCTGCTGCAGCGCAAGTTAGATCCCCTGCTGGGGAGCTGACCCACATAGTGTCACATCTCTCCTGATCTGCCCACTGCTCCCCTCAGCAGTGTATTTCAGTACATCTGCAGTGTATTTCAGTGCATCTGTTATGCTCCCCACTCTGTCTCTGGTGAATCTTCTTACCCAACAAACCTCTGGCTTGTACCCCAGTTCTATAAGCATAAATAAATCTTTTTTGAAAAAAAAAAAATTGCAATGCATGAAAAATCTTACACAGGTTAGTTAAGGAAGTTGTCTTTCCCAGTTCATTTTTAAAATTTAGAATAAAACCTTCATACCGCATATCAAAAATATGGCTTGGGCCCTCCCTGTGGCGCAGAGGGTTAAAGCACAACACTAAGAAGCTAAAGACACTTCAGCATGCGTTCAATCCCTAGTCCTGGAGGTGATCCACATGGCGTGGCAGACCTCTCCTAACCAGCCTGCTGTTCGCCTCAGTAGTCAGTAAGCCTGGTCTCCCCACTCTCACTGCCCCTGCATCTCTGACCTTTACCCCAATTCTGTATGCATAAATAAATAAATCTTAACAAAAAAAAAAGATGGTTCAAGAAAGAAAAGCTACCTGTTTACTGTGTCGTGAACACTGCTTAGGAATCTAGAACACTGCTTAAAAAATTGAATCATGCAATACTAAAAATAAGTAATGGGCAAATTAATTTATCTCAGAATGTAAGCTTGATTTAACATAAAAAAAATCAATGTAGGGCCCTCCCTGGTGGTGGAGTGGGTTAAAGCACAGCACTATGCAGCCACTGCAGCATGAGTTTGATCCCCAGCTAGAGAGGTGACCCACATGGCATGGCAGACTTCTCCTGACCCACCCACTGCTCACCTAAGCAGTATATTTCAGTAGATCTGCCGTTCTGCTCTCCATTCTGTCTTGTCTGTGGTGAATCCTCTCACTCCACTCTCCACCCCGCAACTCTGGCCTGTACCCAAATTCTTGTATGCATGAATAAATAGATCTTTTTTTAAAATCATTGTAATTTGCTACATTGACTAGTAAAAGGAGAATAAATATCTGATCATATCAGTTGATACAAAAAAAGTTATTTGCCAGAACTCATGATAAAGGACAAACTTACAAATTACAATAGAATGGAACTTCCTTAGGCGCTCCCTAGTGGTGCAGGGGGTTAAGATACAGCACCAAGAGGCTATCCACAGCCACTGCAGCACGGGTTTGATCCCAACCTGGGAAATAATGCACATTGTACAGCAGAATTCTTCTGCCTCACTTGGTGCTACCCTCAGCAATGTATTTCAGTAGGTCTATGAGTTCTGCTCCCCACTCTGTCTCTAGTGAATCCTCTCATCCCCATATCTTTGGTCTGCACTCCGGTTCATATATGTATAAATACATAAACTATTTTTTAAAAAGTGGAACTTCCTTAGTCTTAGAAAATAGTAATAGGATGTATATTCTTATAGGCATCAAACTTCAAAAGAAATATTGAAAGACTTTTTTATATAGACCAGAAATCAGTAATTAACATCTCTTATCACTATTTGTATTTATTATTCACTATACTGGGCAGAAAACAAAAATAAGAAAAGATCTAAAGATTGGGACAAAATTAATATAAAACTCATTTATAGATGCTATGATAGTGTATGTAGAAGATCAAAAGAAAAATAATGATTGAAGTTTATTTAACAAGATTGTTGGATACAAAAGTAGTATTCAGGAAAAAATTATGGACATGGTATAGGAGTAAATCTTTGTGTAAGTTACCAATTATTTCTTAGGTATGGCATCAAAAGAAAAACTAAGAGGAAAATCCAGATTTTCTTATTTTTCCTTGAACAGTCCTTGGAGTGACACTATGCTTTTATTGTATGATACTGTGTATTAGTAGATATTTCTACATATGTCTTTCTTGCATTAAATTGGATATATGAATTTTGTGACTATAAATAATTTACTGTGTATGTGCTTCAACTTTACATCCTCTGGGTTTTACAATCCTCAGCAAATATGTATTCTTTCCTTAAATATAAATGTACCTTTTTTTTTAAAGATTTATTTATTCGTACAGAATTGGGGTACAGGCCAGCGATGTGGAGGGTAAGAGGATTCAACAGAGACAGAGTGGGGTACAGAACAGGCAGATCAATGAAGTACACTGCTGAGGGGAGCAGCAGGCAGGTCAGGAGAGATCTGCCGCGCCATGCGGGCAGGCAGGGATTGACTCAAGTGGAAGTGGCTTAAGCTTCTTTGTGCTGTGCTTTAACCCGCTGCGCCACCAAGGAGGGCCCATTTTTTAGTTTTTAATGAATACCTGTGATTTTAAGAAAACTGTCTTTTTGGATTTGTTGTTGGTTTTTTGCTGCTGTTCTTTTTACCCCCTCTTGTGGATCTTAAATTTTTTGAAATGTTTTATTTATGCCACTCTTTTCTATATTTTGGCTTTCAGCCTTATTTTAAACATTTATAAAGGAAATGATTTTTATATTTAAAATTACTGTGTGGTTTGATATTTTTTAGTCAGCATTTTTGGAAATAATTTGTCTTACAAAGAAGTTCATCAGTCAAGATACAATGCAGATAGTTGTGGGAGGTTTTCTTTATACTATGTAAAACCATAGATCATTTTTTCTTGTCCCCTAAACTCCCTGTGGCAGATACATTTATTTTTACACTTTGAAGGGAAATTGTACTAACTGAATGATCTTTTATCCAAAGGTGTCTTCCAATAGATAATTGAATGTTAAAATATTTAAATAATAAATGTGTAGGACATCTTAACAACCATTCTCATTTTTTATATACTGACTTCTCTATTTTCTTAGTATACATACTGTATTTTACTCTGGAATTTTTACTTACTTTACAAAGATATTTTCTTGTTTCCTCTATGAAATGCATTATCATACTTTTAATAAGTACTTAGCCCACCATGTTGATATATCAATGATTTTTACAACTGTTAATTCAGTGTTGGAGAAGGTTTGTTTCTAAGTCTTGCCTTTTACAGGTAATTTCAGGGAACACTTCCAAATATTTCTGTACTCAAAAAATCATAGGTTAAATTTCTATGATTAAAGTAAGCGAACAAATATAAGTGCATTATTTGCTCTGTGTCCTGTCATTGTTTCTTTTAGACAGACTAAACCAATTTGTAACATCTAGAAGATAAACTCTTTTTATATAGCTGTGCCACTGTTAGATAATAAAGTAGGTATGAAATATTTCTTCAAGATCGTTTTGTCTTGAATTATTAGTGACAAAGAACACCTAGTAAAATTTTATGTGTGTTATGTGTCTCTTATGACTCTAAATACATTTGACCTGTTATTGATTATTCATTTTCCTCACAGTTTGTTACTCTACTCCCCACCAGTAACGCCATTGAGTGTGTCTAAGCACTTAAAAGACCATATCGCCAGAAAGGGTGTTGAGTCTCTTCCATTAGATCCTTATATTAACATTCTCCCCCCCCCCCCCTCCCCCCCCCTTTTTTTTTTAATAAAGCTTTGACAGATCCAAATGCTTCTGCCGCCCAGCAGGCTGTTCTCCAACAGCACATCAATAGTCTAACGTACTCGCCTTTTGGAGATTCTCCTCTCTTCCGGAATCCCATGTCGGACCCTAAGAAGAAAGAAGAGGTAAATTTAAGAATGCTTCTGTAAAATTTATTTTCAGAGCAGGAGAAACTAAATGTGCAGGGTATAATTTCTTACATACACAGCCTACAGATAAATTATTTTTGGTGTATCTGTCAGGCTGCATGACAATAAATGAAACAAACACTAAATTGGAGATGAGTACTAAGACTTCAGTTGTCCGATAAGGAGATACTCTTATACTTCAGTTGAGCAAACTACAACTCGCTAATTTCCCTAAAATCATCGTGTTCTCAAGAGGCAAAATCAAACTCTTTTTCTCTTGATTGCTATATATCTTTATATTAATTTCTTACATAGTAGGGGCAAAGAAAGGGCTTTTGCTCACTGGTACAGCATTAAATGTATGGTCTTTGATTTGTTTACTCCTTGCTTTGCCATTTACTATAAAATGTTAGGTATGTCTTTTGCCTCTCGGAATATGTTTTTGTTATCTGTAAAAATTAATACCTTTGAATGTTAAAAATTAAACCACACAGCAGATATAAAGTAAGTCGTTCAGTAGATAGAAAAAATATCATTCAAGAATTTATGTAATATCATTTATCGCAGCTGGTTCTTAAATTAACACTTAAGTAGATATCATGAGAGGCAAAATGTGAGTTTAATGCGCTATGTAAAGTATAAGTTGTGATAAGATGAAAATTCTGTTAGTCATACAACATAATTTTAGGTGCCTACGTATTTTCCTAGTCACTGTTCAGCACTGAGAATACAAAATGGAAACAAACAAGAACTTACTCTCTTAAAACTTACTATGACATGAGTAAGAGCAGACCTGTGTTTAAATTTATTCTGATTCAATATGTACAGTAACAGAAGAGCCAATCTGTTGACTGCTAACAAAATGTTTTCTAGACAATGAACTGTTACTCAGCAGTAAGAAATAATGAAAGTACTGGAACATGCTACAACATGAATGCAACATTGTACTGAATGTACTGAGTAAAAGAAGCTAGGCACAAAAGGCAATTTATGAAAAATGCCTACCATAGGTAAATCCAGAGAGTCAGTCATGCTTGCCAAGGAAAAGGGGGAGGAATTGGGAGATACAGAATTTCTTTTTGGAGTAAGGGACAAGTTTGGAATTAGTGGTAATGGCTATACAACCTTGTAAATATACTAAAATTCACTAAATTGTGTGCATTAAAATGCTACATTTTGTTATATGAATTTTAAAATTATGATAAAGGAAAGAACATAGACTTTTGGTGAATTCGATAATACTTTTTAGAAGAAATAAAATTAATTTTTCCCCTTACTGTGTAGAAGTTGTTTGTTCTATGTGTAGACATACCAAGCAAAGGCATAGAATTGTGAGAGTCCTTCAAAGGTCTATGGAAGTTCATTGTAACTAATGTGTGAACAGAACAAAAAATTGTGATAAGTCTTATATATATAACAACAACCACTGTTTTGTTAATAACAGTCACATAATGCTGTTTATACTGTTTAAGGAGATAAATATATAACCTGAAAATGCCATAGAAACATAGTAAAATATTTTCAAAATCAACCTGAAGCCTGAATTTACTTGTATGTTGCCTCCATTAATTTGTAATTTCTTCAGAAATCAAGGAAAGTAATTTATTATTCTGATTTCCAGTACGGAGTGTTTGGTTCATGTTAATTATCAGTGCTTTCTAAATTACTGATAAATGCAAGCTGAGGTACCCAGTTTTTCAGAGTGGTTTGGATCACTGGAAGTAAATATATTTCATGGCTGCATTAGTGTTCCTTGATGCATGATTTTTTATTTAATTGAAAAGTAATTTGTGGGGTTTAGAATTTTTTTGAAACTATACTTTCTTAAAATGACATGTCATCTTTGTTTTAGAAAACAAAACTAGGGCAGTCTCCTTTGTAAAATAAAGAGAACTTGTACAAGGTATATTAACACTGTTTTGTTAGTACATTTTGATATATACAACACTTCAAATTCAGTATCTTAAAATAAGCCAGACAAACCAGTTGAAATGAATAAAAATTACAGAGAAATAAAGGCATTTCCATTAGGATTTACAAAGTTGGGTGTTGACATTCTGGTATTTTATAAGAGCTGAGACTTCAAGAAATTTCTTGCAGGTAAATGGCACAGGTGAGATTTAATGCTGGGCTTGACATTTTTAACCCAAACCATACTTTTTATTAAACTAGAACTTTTGTTGATGCTTTCGTTTTTCAGAGATTGAAACCAACAAATCCAGCAGCTCAGAAGGCTCTCACTACACCTACACATTATAAACTAACACCTCGCCCTGCCACCAGAGTTCGACCAAAGGCTTTGCAAACCACAGGCACAGCCAAGTCACATCTCTTTGATGGACTGGATGATGATGAACCATCATTGGCCAATGGAGCATTCATGCCCAAGTGAGTTTATTTTTGTTAAATTAAATGTAAAATATTAATATAAGCTAAGTATAAAAAATGTTTTACACCTTACCGTTGTTAAGCAGTTGTAGGATTTTTACTTTATTTTGAAAAACTGAACTTCGCCAAAAAGAATGACTTGATTGCTCCTTGAGATAACTAAAATCAGTCTTTTTTTTTTTTTTTTCTATTATGTTTTACCTATTTTAAATAGTGCTACAGTAAACATAGGGGTACAGGAATTTTTTGAATCAGTGTTTTTGTCTCCTTTGGGTAGATCACTAGGCATAAAATTGCTGGGTCATATGGTAGCTTCTTTTGTAGTAGTCTGAGGAACCTCCACTCAGCTTTCCATAGTGGTTGGACCGGCTTGCATTCCCACCAGCAGTGTAGGAGAGTTCCTTTTTCTTCACATGCTCATCAACACTTGTTACCAGTTTTTTTAATATGTGCCATTCTCACTGGTATAAGGTAGAACCTTATTGTGGTTTTGATTTGCATTTACCTGATTATAAGGGATGTTGAACATTGTTTCATATACCTGTCAGCCATTTGCAGTTTCTCTTTGAAGAGTGTCTTTTTAGTTCTTCTGCCCATTTTTGATTGTTAGCGTTTGCTTTGTTTTTGCTGAGTCAAGTGATTTCTGTATGGATGTTTGTGGTCAATCCCTTATCAGTTGTATCATGTGGAAAATGTTCTCCTAATAAATAGGGTATCTCTTTGCTTTGGCTAATGTCTCTTGCTGTACAGAAGCTTTTTAACTTGATAAATCCCAGCTGTTTATCCACTCCTTCACTTTCTTCGTTTGGGATGAATCTTTAAAGATGTTACTGAGATGTATGTCATGTAGTGTTTTGCCTATGTTTTCTTCTATATATTTTATGTCTTCAGGCCTTACATTCAGATCTTTTATCTATTTTGTGTTGATTTTTGTGCATGGTGTAATGTAGTAGTCTAGTTTCATTGTTTTGTATGTGATGGGCCAGTTTTCCCAGCACCATTTATTGAACAAACTGTCCTTGTTCCATTGCATATTCTTTGCATCTTTGTCAAATATTAGTTATCTGTATATGTGCAGCTTTATTTCGGGGCTGTCCAGTTCCATTGGTCTGTGTGTCTGTTTTTGTTCTGGTACCAAACTGTTTTAATTATGGCTTTGTAGTATAGTTTGAAGCCTGGGTATATGATACCTCCATTCTTTTTCAGGAGAGCTTTGGCTATTCAAGGAAACCTAATTTCTAATTCACAAAGCTAGTTGATAGTTATGTAATAGTTTGAAAAAGTTCTTCTTGATTGTCCATGAATGTAACAAGAACACATGCCCACATCAAAGTGGAATTGTTATAACTGTAGGCACTGTTCAGAAGGTATTTCTTCAGTTAGGTAGGGAAAACTTATTCCTGATAATAGACGTTAGCTGCTCTATCATTTCAATAGCTATTGACGTATTTTCCTCCGTCGTGGATTATGAATTCCTGACATTAGCCACCTACTATTACTCATTTTTAAAGGGCCACGTTGATCTCTCCTATACAACTTTTGGGATTCCTTTGTCATTTCTAACAATGAGTTCCCCATCCAGACATCAAAAAATAAATGGGTTTCCAACATACTGGAAATAGATCAGCTCATACTTCCGATATACTGTCTTTTGGTTGTAGCATAGGTTCAATGCCATCTAGTGTACAAAGTGGGCATATGGCAGTGCTGTCACTGCCACAAGCCCTACCACATGGCTATCCTGCCATAGGGTGATGAGGATAACCAATATTAAACATTTTTAAAGCATGTAAATAGTTTTACATGTGCATGTTTATTTTTTGTTTGTTTTATCTGTGAATTAGTGCTTATTTTGAGGAGACACTTTTTCTCATTAACTCTAAGTGCTCCTGATTAAGAAGAATCTGTATTTTTAATGTCCATATAGCTGTTGAGCCATTAATAAATTACACAGAAAAAAATATAAGACAGTATGTAGAAGAGTTAGTGGTTAACACAGAAAATTATGCTTAATTTGTGTAGTGGAACAAACATACCCTCGTGTTTTTGTATGTTTGTGTTGTTTGTGGGGGGAGAGGGCAGGAAGATAAACCTGAAGAAAATTTTGTACTTGTTAATGATAATTGGCATCCAGAGTTGTAATTTCAGGGCATTGAGTTAGGGTTATTTCTCTAGATACATAGTTAGACACATACACACAGACTGTTAAGAATAAAAAGGTTTTTCAGGTTCTAGAAAAAAATCAATCTCTTGCAATTCTTTGTGAATATTAAGCAAAACAATTTCCACTTTAAAATACAGTGGTCTG